CCTACTTGGTTGTATATTTTGAACACGCAAGATACCTACTGACTCAAGTTCGGTTGGCAGTTGCATGTAGCCATTCATGCTTCCATCCCCTCACTTGCCACTTCTTTCTGTTGGGATACGGCGGTTGATCGATTCTGGACAGACACTGCTCGCCTAAATTTTAAAGTGATGAACCGCCACTAAAAGGGGTCACCCTCCTAAATCCAGCAGGTTTAATCCGGGTTCCCATCTGAAGTCTTTTCTCTCACCCGTGGCAAACTGTCAATCCTTGGGCGTCTTCAAGCCCCAGGAGTTGCAAGTCAAAGGTTGGGGAGAGATGTAGGCTGGTTTCTGAGGAATGCCCTATTCTCATGGATCGAACTCTGAGTCTTTTCTCTTTTTTTTCGTGGGGAACCATGGGTCTGTTTTGAGACAACCCGTTTAAAGGCTCTTCTTAAAGAAGACAAGCCCATGTCGGTATCACAGTCATGTTCCGGCCCCATTGACCCCATCCCAGAGCAAATGGCCGGCCCAATGCAGATATAGGCCACATGCTCATGCTGCGGTCTGATCCCCCCAAGATTCCTTCAACGCGGTAGTTTATCGGGGTGCTTTGCAGAAGTATAGCTCTTGTGCAATGAAGGATTGGGATTGGCCAGCTTCACTTTGACTCCAAAGTGCAAGTCTGCCCAATTTATACAGAGACGCCACTGCAATTCGTGCAAGTGAACAGAGGCCACCTGCCCCCATCCCCGTAAACATGACTTGGGGAGGGGCATCACTGAAAGTCCATTCATAGTGTCCAGGGAATCCTGTATGGGCCGTTCTACCATGCTCACCAAGCCAAACAATTGCACGCACTCTGCGATCCCTGCAAGCCTCGAACCGCGACCGCGAAAGCTGCTGCGGTCACCAGGCGAGGGCGGTGGCCACTCATCGTGACTTGTGCTTGTTCGCAACCCTTCCCGCCCAACTTGCCAGCGAAGCTTATCGCCCGAGCTGTTTCACGGTGCACGCACGCTCGCGCGCGGAACGCGCGCTGGGCGGGACAAAGCTTTGCCAAAAGGGTTGAAGAGCTCATGTTGGCAAGCAGATCCATCCCTATAGCAAGCATGCGGAGGAGCATGAAGCTGCGTGAACGCGCGCGCGTTGACTCTGTCGCCGCGGTCTTCGCCCGAGCTTCGCCAAGGTTTCGGGCAACGAAGCTGGGGCCTGAGGGAGCCTTTGCTTGGCAGTCCAGCTTGGAGCAAAACATGGATGACACGCACGCAGGCTTGGTGAGGTGTGAAACCTATCCGTGTTGGGCAAGCGCAGACTGCTGCTGACAAACTCCCGCCCCAACCGTGCGCTTGGTGCAACAGCAGGCTCACTTCAGGCCAAGCCCTTTCCCCGTGTGAACACAAGTTCGGCGCCACACGCAGAGTTGATGGGCTGTCTTTAATCGATATGGCTCAGCTGGACTTTTGAGTACCCTTTTTCCATGGTTTCAAGGGAATCCAAAACGAAAACGGCAATGTTGACTCCTAGCCATCCAGTTCCCTGGCCTTTCCTTTTTTAAGTGGAGGGATTTCCCAGTCAGCTTTTAGTGGGGGATCTGAAAACAGACAGCCCAGTTTTGGCATTGCCAGGCCCATGTAGATGCCCAAGGCTATTTGGCAGGAGGCCTCAGACGGCCTCAGAGGTCAATTCGGCGTGTTCAGAAGCTTCTGTTAGTGGGTGCCGCGCGGGCTTGTTTGGAGGCCGATGTGTTGAAAGACAAAAAATCGACAGGTTTTTTGTGTAATTGCGTTCTGTGTAGAATAGTGCTTTAAACATGTTTGTTTGTTGTTTGGCCTCATAAGTCCATTGATGTACCTGTATAGCGGGTGGTCAAAAAAACCTTTGAAGCTAAACGAGTGGATGGAAAATGGCTAAGATAGAGCTGGAGCTGGTGTGTACGGTGTTGCGTGTGTTGAGTGGTAGCTGGAAATAAAACAAAGGCACTCTTGAAGGGCGTTTGAGTGAGTGACAAGAAGCTTGCAGTATTTGAGCTTCCCTTTAATTCAAAACCATCAAAGCTGGGTGAATATATCTTGAAAAAATGACCTGGCCAGCCTGAGCGATTTTCCAAATTTGAAAATCACCACAAGCCTGTCAGAAAGAAGGCACAATGTCTCTACGTGCGACCCCTGTCAGCATGAGAGGATGTAGTTTTGAGAGGTTCTCCAACGCCACGAAAGCATACAAGCGGCAGACTTCAGACGCATCGGCTTGTCCAAAGACGCATCGATTGCGCGTGGCCAGTGGGGAAAGCATCCCTACAGGCAACGGGCCCAACTGTGTGCGTTGGAGGTGGGCACCGCCGAGGCAGCGTGGCCGCTGAGTAAACGCGCAGCAAGACATCAACTGCATGCTTTATGCTCGCTGCGCGGTGCCCACTATGGACGCGCGTGGGCAATGTGAATGTGATTCGACGCTTGATGACAAGAGAGCTGGTGTTGCCGGTGGGGAAAGCATCCGCGCAGGCAACTGGGCCGACTGTGTGTGTTTGTGTGGGGTCCCGTCGAAGCAGCGTCGCCGGTGGGTAAGAACACAGCAAGACATCAAGTGCAAGCTTTATGCTTGCTGCAAACCTCCTTTCTCCCCGGCACGGGACGCATACGCGCTTGGCCAGTGTGATTCGCGCTTCTGCAGCCGGTGTTCGAACTCAAACATCAGTGACAGAATTCGCAGGCAGCCGGCCCAACTGTAAGTGTTGGAGTGGAGTCCTACGCAGCCCTCTGAAGTCCACACAAAGCATGACAACCACAAAATGCTGCATTGTGCATATCCCCGGTGGCTGCAAGGCTGAACTCGTGACAAGGTGAAGCCATGCGTCACTTCCACCGTCGGTGTGCATGATACTGCTTGACAAGCTATGGGGGGTATGTTGATTTTTTTTTTTCGAAGGATCTGCGCGGGCCAACCGCAAGGGCAACAACATGGGGGCAGGCGGTCTAGGATTCGGGCCAGGGCAACGTTTTCGAGCCCATTTCGCAGGAAACGAAAATCTGGAAGCGCGTGGCCAGTTTCATTTGCATTCCCACAGCTGGCGTTGGAACTTAAAACATGATCGCCAAAAGGCGCGGCCAGTAGGGAAGCACATGAAAAGTGATCAATTTTCGATGGGTGTTAACCTAGTTTTGCGTCAGCGCGGCGTACATTCCCGCGGCTGGCGTTGGAATTCAATAGTTTGATGACCAGAAAACTGGCATGTGACTCAACGCGGCTGCATGTATAGGGAAACCCCCCCAAAAAAAAACCCTCTAAATTGGGGCCCAGCAAAAATGGTCTGTTTCCTTTTGGTTTCCCTTCAAATACTAGCCAAAAAAGGGGGTCCATTTTGAGCAACCTAATCTGCAAAGTCCATGGCACATGTCTCATTCAGCGGTTCGGAGCGAGGATCCAGAGATTGTCTTGGGGTTGCGGGGCTGGGGATATCTGGCGGTTTTTGTTTCGAACTTCCAGTTTTGGAAGCCAATTGGAACCAAAGGGTAAGATGGAGGAAGCCAAAATCGGCCTGGTCAAATGGACCCAATCGTCTAGGTGCCCCGAGCTTCGCGGGAAGAGGCGCGGGAAGAGCGCGGCACGGCGGAAGCCGCTGAGTCGACGAGTCGATGGGTGGGCGTTTGGCTGGGTGCCTATTTTAATTGCGAGCTCACTGCATGGGGGGTGAAAAGCCAATAGCATAGGTCCTTTACTTGCGAATCCAACTCTTATTTCAATATGTTGATTTGTGCAAAGTTGCAGATGTGCGTGAACATTGGGATGAGTTTGTCTTGGCCAAGCTCAGCGGCGTAGAATCTCTACAGTTGGTGGTTGCATTTTCACATTGTGCTATAGTTGGTTTCTTGTGGCGTCGTGGTTAGTGGAAACCAGCCAAAAGGTTGACCAGTTGATCAGTTGTTCACCCGCAAACAGCGGTGGCATGACATTCACCCATACACTTGATAACCTCCTCGCCTCAATAATTAGTCCCCAAGTGGGCTTCATGCGAATTGTTTTACCGACACATATAAATTATCTCAGGAGGAGTTTGGTTTGCTTTCAGTCCAGATCCTCTTCTGGTCATTTGGTTCAGTGGCTGTCTTGGTTGCGCGACAAGAGTGCGGCTCGGCACTTTTCTTGGGAATGATCGAAAAGCGAGCTGTGCCTGGAACCCGCTCCCCAAAAAGAACAGCCTGACTGGAGGTTTGAATGGACCTATGGGCTTGTCTAAGGCAGAAAGGGACCGAAAGTAAGGCTTGACATGGATGTTTGGTGCTTGCCCGCCTAAAGGTTCTGGTTTTGGTGTTTACCCCCTTGGGGTGCCAAAAGAACCCAGTTTGGAGTAGCAAGTTCCATCAAGTTTCTAGCCGTTGCTTCTCCTAAGACGCACAGTGTGTTTTTTTGTTTCCCGCTTCAGCAACCGTAAATTCCTGCAATAAGTTGCTGATCGCAACCTGCCTCTTGCAACGGTGGCGTATTGGAACCCAGATTAGTTTTGTGGGAACCTTAGCTTTTGGGACCCCAGGCGTAACGCCCTGGTGGATTTTCATGGCCGGAAAATGTCCCATTTTAGTGGGACCCTCCCCCTTTTGGGGGGAAACGTTGCTTAAGTGACCTGGAGTTGATTTTGAAGATGCATCCTTGAACCCTGGTTCGCATGTTGCAGACAGGGGTCGGCATGGAGAGTTGACAAAACCTGGAGAGTTGACCCAAAAATGGAAGAGTTGACACAAACAAAGAGAGTTGACAAGAAGGGGCAGGAGAGCTTCAGAATTAAGATCCTTACTTCGGGAGTGGAAATGGAGAGTGGCCAAAAAAAAATGGCCTCCTTTAGGATACTGAACAGGGGCACTTAGTAAGTGGTTAATAACCATTGTTATAACCCGCTTAGGAGACTTATAACCATGGTATGTGGGTTATAACCATGGTTACCAACCACTTACCAAGTACCCTGCCCCTTTAAGTACTGAACAGGGGCCCTAATTTTAACACCTCCGAAGTGCTAGGCTGCCTGCAGATCCCTTGGCTCGAATCGGATCGACCGGCTGGAGATGTGGCGCGCCTCGTTGCTGGCGGCGCCTCGGCGAGACATCGGTTTTGGGGGGTGGGGGCCCCTCCAAAAGTGATCTGGTTCGAACCACTGAACCCAGGAAAAATCACCCCCTATGCGTAAACTGGGGTTGATTAATATGGGGTCAACATTATAACTCACCTGGTACATGTAAACAGCTGGTAAAGTTTGTTGTTTGACCAAATTGTATCCTTCAAGGACATTGGAGCCACACTCAACACCACTGCGGGTAGAGAAAGGCTAGTAAAGGACGAGCGCCTTGCCCGTTTGGTACCAGGTTTTGATTGTGACTCATTGGGCTGATGTGAAGATTTGAGTATCAAGCGTTCCTTTGGCTGCAAGCGACAGTCGTTTATTTGGGCGTGTGTTGGTACCCTGTCTTGGGGTTCTTTTAAAGGAGGACCAAAGGAAACCATGAACATGTCGGTTCCCCTGGTTTCGACCCATGAACGTCTTCAAGGCACGCCCATGGTTCTGCCTGTGTCCGAAATCGCACGCCACAGCTGAAATGCGACTCGCAGAAGAGAACTGGGCTGTTCTTGGCATGTTGGTTTGATTTACATGTTTTGTATCTTGGTCCTGTTCAGTGATATGCCAAGCTTACCCACAATTGGTGTTTTAGATTGGTGGTCGTTTGTGGATTTCCCCTGGTTTGTGTTGAGGGCAATTGAATGGAAACCCTTAGCCACCAAACCACCGGGCTCCAAGCCGCCCATTGGAAGGAAACTGACATCTACACAGACACACATTCATACATGGCCGTGAGTCAACACCAATGGGATCCCATTTTGGTTGGTAGGTGAATTCACCCCCCATTTTAGTACCGATTTTAGTGGGGATTGGGATGTTCACTGGGGGTACGGGGTTTTGACCCATAGCCGCATGGATATACAAGGGATTCTACAGTTGAAAGGACAATGGCCGGTTGCCGGAGCCAAGCTCTTGCTGTGATCGAACGCTCGGGTCAGAACAGCTCAGGTAGCTGTGGCTGCCGATGTGGTGCACATCCCAATTACTCGGAAGCCCAGGAGTGACAGAGTCCAGCCAATGTGAACGGTTTCGGATCAAGAGCCAGAGGGTCCAAGCTAGTCCATATTTGGTTTTGGTGTTGGTTGCAAGCACTCTAACAATTCCCAAAGCCGCAAATATGAGGTACTCGGACCCGGGAGAGCAAAGCACTCTGCTAGCATTAACCCTGTCTCTTCTTTATTGACCGGTTGATTTGCTGAGTGTCCTCGTGTTCTATTTCGGGAGCCGAACTAGAGACCACGGGCAAGTGGACAGATTTTGCAGTCTGAGGGTATCGCTTTGTGATCGTCCCCCGTTGAGGAGCGACATATTATTGTCTGCTTAAAAAGGCTTTTGCAACTTCAGAATCCTTGAGCTGTGTGAACATGCGCATGTCTATCAATCGTTTACAGGTTTGGGATAAGACGTGTCCTAGGGTTTAAAGGTCGTTGCCAGCCAACAGCGGGCCACCCAGAATCTGGTGTTGCTTCCTTTTCATGCTTGCTGAAAGAGATATGATAGCTTTGTTGCATGTTGCTTGGATGTTAGGACTTCAACTGTTTGCCAACAAATGGGTTGTTTTCCATTAAACCACTAAAAGTTAAACTTTTAGCAGGGGAGCAGAAACGTTATACCATTTGAATCAGGAAGCGAGTCTTTTACGCTTCCCTGAGGGGTTGATGGTCCAATTGTAAACGAAACTATGACCACAGACAACCATTTTTTTCAAGATATACCCTCCCACCAACTAACATGGAACTGCACAAAGCCCCTTTCAAAGAGGAAGTAATTTGTTTTTCTACAGGGGCCTGTGCACTTCCATGTTAGTCGGTGGGAGAACTCGCACCAAGCGTGAGTTTTGGGAGTAGGGGGGGGGCATGCTCAGCTTCCTAGGTTTGCCGAATTTCTTCCGTTTGCTTAAGAATATATGTTGTTTGTCTGTTGGTTTTAAAGGGAATCTATCACCACCTGGAGTCTCCATGGCCCTTCAAAAATGCTCATTACCCGAAAATAGAAGGGGTTGTGACCCCTTTTTCCAGGGGTCATGGAGACTCTAGGTACTGCATTTTTTCCAGGGGGCTTGAGCAAATGGCAGATGGGGGCTTAAGCGAACCCAGGGCTCCCCTTGCAAGAAACCGCAAGGGATGGTCTTTAAGGGTCGTTCCCTCATTCGCTGCCTATCGCACCAAATGACAGGGCGGCGTTCTGCTCGGGCTTGTAGCACGCCAGGAGGTTTCTTTATGTTGCGTGAGGTTCGACACAGGCCCGTAACATGCAAGTGCACCGACCCCTGTAGAAAGACTACTTTCCTCTTGGAAATAACCCTTTTGCACTTCCTTGTTGGTTGGTGGGAGGAGGGTCATCTTTGCAGGACCAAGCAACAGCTGCGTCGCCTCACCGAGCGCTTCGCCGCCTTGGGCGCGGAGGAAGGCCTGAAGCCGAGGGCGCAGCGGTCAAAGGTGAGAGGCGAAGAGACCTGAGCTTGGTGGCTCCCAGCCATCTGGTTCCTTGGCTTCATGTGGTTTACATTTCCTTTTAAGAAGACGTGTTTTAATATAAAACACGTGGCTTAATGTAAAACACGTGTCTTCGAATCGTCTGCGTGGCTTCATGTGGTTCCGTGTCTCACTATGTTCGTACCGGAAGCGGAAGAATCCGAAGCTCACATCCGCCCATTGCAATTTCCCCCCCAGCTCACTCGGCTGTCCTCAGATCCCCCGCTAACAGTTTAACTTCTAGTGGCCCCCTCAAAGTGATGGTTGTACTAAAAGGGAGGAGGGCAACGCCTGAGTACGGTCCTTTGGATTAATCTGAAGTTAACAGTACTGTTTGCATGTTCCTGCTGTTTTTGGTACTGTATTCCCCTGTTGTGGTTTTAAACACCACCTTTGGGCCTGAGTGAGTTGCCTTTGATAGTGGTGACGTTTTAAGGGATGTAGGAACCCTGCGGAAACCAATGGAACTGCCCTTTCAACAAGAGGCCAAAACAAAAAAGCGCAGGTGACCTGCGATGGGAATCAGGACGCTAGCCATTGGTTTACTCCTATCTTCACAAAAAAAAAAAAAAAACGGTGATGATGTACCCGCAACGCCAGTATGACTCTTGTGACCCTAATAAAAGGAGCTCACGCCTCATGATGAAGCTTGCCGGTTTGGGATTGATCGTCATTGCAGATCGCAAATTTTACGTGATACATATTTAAGCACTTGCAAGTTGATTTAGACGCCCTTGTGAATCAGGTGAGTTTGGGATGTATTATTTGAGGACCCTGTAAATTGCGTCAGATGTTTGGTACGAAATGCCCCATGACGATCCGGTTCTTTTTTAGAAGGGGGGACCATATGTTTGGTGAAAGTCCCTCGAGGATGCATTTACGTCGGTTTGTCATAGCAAGCTGCATTAAATTAGAGCCGGGGGAAGCTCAAGCGTGACAGGAGGAACCTTGGGGCGTTCCACGTGTTTCATGTGAGCATGCACTGAAATGTGTATTGCCGTATTGCCTGGGAAGCTGAGAATGACCCCTAGAAGGTGGAGGCTGCGTGTTATTTGTTCAGGCAACCCACACCGCAGAAGTTTGTAGAAATGTTTGGTACGGCTTTCCGATTCCTTTGAGGGGCAAGTTTGTTCCCGGGATTTCAACGAGCAGCATACTGTGGACGGACGAAATCCATTTCGCACCACTCTGAAACTATAGGAAACCATTGTTTGTTGATATTTGCAGGGGGAATCATCATTCGAGGGATGTTTGGGTGATGCAGGATTATGTCCATCCACAATATGATAGGTAGCCTGCTATCGTCCTCTTGGTGTTTGAGGGGTGGTTCCCTTGGTTACCTACTACTTGGTCCCCCAGTAGTGCCCATTTACCCTTTTTTGGGGGAGGGTTCCCCACTAAAAAAGACTACGGAAAAAATGGGTACCCTTATTCTAACCTCTCGACTGGAGGACCTAGACTATAAAGGTAAATGGATCCATTGGGTAAGGTATCTCCATACTGTAGGTCGCTTCGGTGATTTTTGTTCCGCGGGCGAGCGGCAAGGCGAGCTGCCGTACGTCGCGATCAAGGATTTCCAGGCGTGGAGCGGACCGCTCCGAGGTCTGTCGAGAAGGATCTGTTTACTACGCCTGTTCGCATCTAATGGGTACTACTGTGGATGGACGATATCCTGCACCACCCAAGAAACCCTAGAATGATCATTCCCTTGTGAATACCAACAAACAGTGGTTTCCCATGGTTTCAAAGTGGTGTAGGATTCCTTCCATCATCCACAGTGGTGCCTGGACGCTCCGCCTCCCTTTGTTTAGACAAATAATTTCAGTCTTTACATGTTGCTCAGAAATATGGGTCTGCAGAAAGCTCCGCGACAGGGTGCTTGTAAGCAGCCGTGCGAGAGTACGCATTCGCTCAGCAGCGCGGGCTGTTTGCCAGTTTCGAAATGTGGCGGCATCTTTTGCACACTCTTGTGCTGAAAAGTTGCTATTTTCAAGCCGGTACTTGGTGCATTGTGTACCGAAGGTGACCCTGCTGATATCGGTCCGATCATTCCCAGAACCCCTAAACGCGTCAAGGCAGCAAGTTTCCTGTTGGATCCGAATCGATATTGCCACCTCAAACTTTACTAGGTCCCCCAGTAGTGCCCCTTTACCCTTTTTGGGGGGGTTCCCTTTCTAAAATCAGAAAAAAAAGGTATCCTTATTCTAACCTCTCTACTGGAGGACCTAGCTTTAGGGCTGAGCATATAAGTCGAGTTCCTGCCGAGAGGAGAGTAGAGCAGCAACTCATCTTCATGCAGCAGTCCAAAGGTCGACTGAGAAATGGAATGAAAGGGAATCAACTATGAAGGGCATGTATTAATTCAACAAAAAAAAAATCCCCAGCAACACACTGTCATTGCCCCAAGATATATGAGGCACAGCTGCTCTTCAGGGTACTTATTGCCTTGAGTCTAATCCCCTTTGCTTAAAGAGCTTGCTTAAAGAGCCGTAGTCCATTTTACATCCCAAGGTTGGTATCCCTTATACATCCCAGACAATCATTTGGTCGCTTTCCCGTTTCAAGGCCATATTAGTGGCAAACAAGAAGTGTCGGATGTTTTCTCGCCCTCAGGCAATGAGATCCAGAGATTGGTCGTTGTCCCATCCCCACCTCCCTAAATATGGAATTGGGGGAGGGGGGTGCTGCTGGAATTCCTTTTCTGGTTCCATTTCTCTTTTTTGTGCGGAAAACTAGATAAATGGAATCAGGGGACCCCGCACCCCCCTCCCCCTTATGGTACTGTGGATGGACGAAATCCTGCACCACCCCACAAGCCCTAGAATGATGATTCCCCTGTAAACAGCAACAAACAATGGTTTCACATGGTTTCAAAGTGTTCCCCCAAAACTCGATTCGATGGCAGGACTCGGAGTATTACGGGCCGGTGTCCATCGGCACGCCAGAGCAGACCTTTACTGCGCTTCGGAAGCAGAGACAGGGGCCGCCGGGAACCGTGTGTTGCGGTGCTTTGCTTTTTTTTCTTGGGGGGGGGGGGGGAAACCCGGGAGGCAGGCCTGCAAGCTACTGAGATTTCATGATTTTTTTAGGGGTTTTGGAGATGGTTGGAAGGGTTTCTCTGGGTTTCTGCGGAGTTCTGCGGAGTTCTGCAGGTTTCTGCAGGTTGCCGAGGTGCGTAAGTACAGGCTTTCAGCAGGGTTTCTTGCGGGGCTTTCAGAGTTTCTCCGCGATTCAGGTGTCTTGGAATGTTGAGGTTCTTAGGGTTTCGTTGAATTTATGTTGGGCGCTCATTGTTTGGAGCTTGCTTCAAGTTTTTGCAGGTTTGATAGAATGAATGGAGGTAGGGGGCTTGCTGCGGGTTTTAAAGGAAAACTGGAAGGACAACCGAAACCCATTGTTTGTGTTTTGTGTTTTTTTGCGGGGGCTTCCCGTTAAAAAAGTACACGCACCTATATGTGCCATGGTCAAAAGAATTAGTTCCGTTGCTTGTTGGTAGGGATGGTGCTCAAACTCGATGGATTTTGGACAACATACGGTTTCTTGTTAAGACCATGATCCAAGGAATTTCAACCGTGGAACATATGAGGCCAGAGATGCTTCAGCAGGCAATCGTTACGCTACTAGAGCAGACTTTGCACAGAGGCAACCGGATTATTTCCCCAGGGCTACTAACCACTTGCTTTGACTAGCAAATCGATTGCCTCGTATTGCGGATTCTTAGTCAGAAATGCGAACATGACCCCCTTTCCCCAACTTTCAGGTTCTTTTAAATCGCATTTGTTTTGATTGTTTATTCCCCATTCACCAGTTGAGTTGCCAAGCTTAAAACTTTGTTTCTGGTGTGCCGTCTCGATGTTTAGCAAAGCTCTCACGCAAAAGAAGATCCCGGCCCTGTGCTGGACAGTCAGATCAGCACTAAAGAGCAAGCCAGGCGTAGGGTTCCCTATAGTTTTCTCAAAGCTATCACCCTCCAAAAGCAGATGCATCATTAGTTGGACTTTCCAAAAGGCGGTGTTTTTGTCGCCACCTTGTTAAGGTGTTGATTTTAAGCAACACCTTGTGCAGTGGTGGTTTCCGTTGTCCTAACACCCTTAAGCAGTCCCTCTTTGAAGGCCAGAAGTGACCGCATGCCTTTGGGCAGACAATGACGCATTCAACACGCACAAAACACGTAAGACTTCAAAGAGAAAAGTGAGAACAGTAGGAGCTTAGCAATTGATTTGGGTGAATTTTCGGGTGATTGGGGGGGTGATTTACTACGGTAACGCTAGGAAAAGAAAAAGCACAAGTCAATCTGGAGCTTTTTTAAGGACCCGTTTTTTTTCTTCTTCTTCTTCTTTTTTCGATTTTACACCAGCCGTGTTTATGTTGAAATTCCCTCATTTTGGATTATCATTTTCGTGTTTTTTTCACAGACGAAGCGAGCAAGCAAAACAACACAAAAAAATCGCCGGAGCCCTTTTCAAAGGACGAGGTCAGCCACGAATTTCGTGGCGGATGGTTTGTAAGGTGATCTATGACACTGGATCTTCAGATCTCTGGGTACCCAGCGCCAAGTGCATCTCTGAAGCCTGCGGCTGGGCAAAAAAATCGGATGCCCTAGATGGCTCGCTCGGCTTTGTTGAGGGTGCCTGTTTCCTTCCATTTGCTTAAGAGGATTGTGTATTTCCCCCTGTTGGTTTGAAAGGGACTCTATCACTACCGATTTGAGTTCATTGGACTTAAGCAAATGGAAGTTTTTTGGGTGGTTTTAATGGAACGCCACTTGGACAAGCACCATTTGGGTCTTTTTGCACGTGCCTGTTTAGTTGGGACGCCCCCCTGTTAATAAACTGGGTGCCTCTTTGCGGGTGGTCTTAAAGGAAAGTCACTGAGTCACAATGACAATCACCATTTTGTGGGTGTCTCCTGGAAAATGCATCCCCATACCAGATACAATATGGAACTCAACAAGCCATCATGGAGGAACCTCCCAATGTGTTTATTGTTTTTCTGGCTCCAGATGAATTTGCAGGTGTGTATCACTTTCAGGATTTTGTTGAGGCTCCGAATTCCTTTCAACACTCTTTCGGGGTGTCCCCCTAGCGATTATGTGGTTGTTTCCCGCTTTTTGCCTCCCGATACTGCAGGTAAATCAGCCACACACAGACACACAGACACACAGACACACAGACACACAGACACACAGACACACAGACACACAGACACACAGACACACAGACACACAGACACACAGACACACAGACACACAGACACACAGACACACAGACACACAGACACACAGACACACAGACACACAGACACACAGACACACAGACACACAGACACACACACACACAGACAGACAGACAGACAGACACACACACAGACAGACACACACACACACACACACACACACACACACACACACACACACACACACACACACACACCACACACACCACACACACACACACACACACACCACACACACCACACACACCACACACACCACACACACCACACACACCACACACACCACACACACCACACACACCACACACACCACACACACCACACACACCACACACACCACAACACAACACAACACAACACAACACAACACAACACAACACAACACAACACAACACAACACAACACAACACAACACAACACACACACACACACACACGCAAAACCATGCTGGGTTGCGGTGAAGTAAGGGGCTTCCTGGTTCCCTCACGAGCAAGAGGTAGCTCAAAAAGTTTTGAATCACCCATCGTTCTTTGCAGGAACTGAACAGAAGAATCCTCTTGGAGAAGGCAAGAATAGAATAGCCCTTTCGCTGGGGTCGTTTCATCGGGTAGACACGTTTTATGAAGCGTCATTCTCACATATCTTACCTTGGAGTTGGTTTTGCCCTTCTTCCCGTAGCTCCACGTTTTTTATATTCCGCAGTCAGTAAATGTCAGAAAGATGCAGAAGCCTTTTGTCGGATGGAGTCTGAATTGAATAGGTCGAACCAACAAACACTTGGGTGTTTGTCAGAATAGGGGGAACACCCCCAATTTTGGGTGGTTCTCCCTTTGGCTTTCCTTTTAAAGCGACACCAACAACGGAACCGTCAAACACACACACACAGACTTTCAGCAGCAAATTGATCGCCTCCTTTCTCTCCTGCAGAACCTAGACCGCAAAACGGGGTCCTTAAAAGGGAGTTTCCTCAAAGTGACGGCTTCTGAGTTCTGTGTTGACCTGCCTAGGTCCCCCAGCTAGGTGCCCGTTTTTTACCGTTTCTTTTTTGGTTGGGAGGGTTTCCCTACTAAAATAGACTACCTAGAGGCTCCATGACCCTTTAAAAAAAGGTCCATGACCCCAATATTTAGGGTAATGACCCCATTTTTAAAGGGTCAAGGAGACTCTATGTACAGAAAAAAGTTGGTACCCTTGGTCTAACCTCTCTACTGGAGGACCTAGCTGCAGGAGTGTAAGCAACATCCAGCAGAGGTTGACACAGAAGCCGCGCGAGCTGATTTTGCAGGTCAGAAGCACCACCGCTACGACCTCAGCAAGTCGAGCACGCTGCTTGGATCGGTAGTGGCTTCTTACGTGGTTTAGGAGATCGGCAACTGAAAGCAAGTGGCTGGTAACACCGATGACAACCATCACAGCACCTCGCTTCGATTTGTTTCTCTACGTCACCTTTCGGTGGCAAATACAGATAGTGCTTCTATTGGAGGGATGAAATTCAGTGGAACCTGCAGGATTACAACGGTGGAATATTTGGTTTGAGGCTGCCATTCCAGGCTCAAAAAATAGTAATGCCAAAAGCGGGTGAAACCATAACCTTCAAACTTAAAAGCACCCTTCGCAATCTATGCCGATGAATGTTTGACCGTGCCCATGGAAGGGCCAATCCAATTCCCAAGGTAATCAAGTCCAGACGGCCAGTGCTGACATCACTTCACTGACTCAAGTTTGCACCGGGGCTTCTGTGGGCGCAGCAGATATTTTTTTTGGCGGGGGGGGGGGGGGATGAGGCCCAAAAACGGCAACAGCAAGTGCAGGTGTAGTGTTGATATCGCAGAAAAGAGATGTCTTCCAACGGATGGCCAGCAAGAAGCTTTGACCACTTCACATGGAGCCCAAATGGTTGAGATCAAATTTGGCGCCCCTTAAGCCAACAAGAAGGTGACCTCCCTGAAGCCAAGAAGAGAGCTTCACCTTCCCGGACTTTCAGACGAGACCAGAACAAAATAGCAGTCTCAGTCTTGGTTTAATTTGTAGAAGTGAGCCTTTCAAAGCCGAAAGGGGGCCTCCCAAAGACAGGCCACAACCAATCAGGTCAAATCGGTTTTGATGTGTTCATGGTCCATCGGGGACAACAAATTCGTTTGACTTTGCATGACTTGTTTGGGTTCAGACAGCCAAAGAGGCGCAACAGACAAATTCGTCGCTGGGTTCGCGGTCAGGTACTCGCCAGACGGCCGGCGTCTGATTTTGCCCTATGGGTCGGGTGTGTGCGCTGGCACACTCATCCGGGACACGGTGAAGGTGGGCGGAGTCGAAGCTTGGACTGCACTACGTTTGAAGTTCTTTGAGCTCACCTAGTTAACCTGAGCCCTAAATGGGACATTGTACGTCTGGTCGGTAAGCCTGGTTATATGCCTCCAAAAAGGTTTGGTTATACGTCTCCGTTCAGTGGGCTGTCTCACCACGCTTTCTAACCACTTACCAGACGTACAATGCCCGTTTAAGTAGGTGATTTGGTTGAGTGGTTTAGACTAAACGGATTTGGAAAGGGAACTCTCAAATCCAAACGAAGGGGTACCTGACCAGAACCATCCCCTGGAAACTGGAATTGGGGAGGGGGATGATGGAGATCTCCGTGTTTTGTTCTTGGTTTTAAAGGGTATCTATCACTGGACATAGTGCTTTTATTGTTCCAGAGGGTGTATTTACAAATGGAGTGTGGGAGGATTCTCTTGAAATTCGGGGGCTTTCTCCGCTCCCTCTGAAGGTAAGCCAAGTTGCCCAGTGGTGTTTTTTTCTTTTTTTGGGGCAAGGGCTCCCTTTGACCAAAAAAGGATGCCGTGTTTCCTGTTTTGTTTCCCCATGGAAATCTGGGCATTTGAGGAAGGGGGATTTGCAAGGATAGAAACGGCCAAACCACTGGGTGTGATAGGTTTGTTTTTCGTGGCGCAGCTCCTTGGAGCCCAGCATGTAAGATTGAGCCCGGAGGTTCCCGTCAAGTTCTGAAAACTTCCGACATGGGTGTGGCTCAAATGCTAAGAGCTAGGGTTGCGCAGGTTTGAGTCTTTGGCATTTACCAAGGTGCCATTTGGAATTCATGTGTTTGACCCACAGCCAAATGGGTGGTCTTTTGTGCCATGGCATCATCGGAGCTTGGGGCTGATGTTTTTCATGAGTTGCGGGAATGAAGTTCCCATGTGATACCAAAACATCCTTGTGTAAGTGAAGAAGTAATCAGTGGTGTTTGGGAAGGCCTTCCTGTGGTATGACCCCAGACCTCCGATGGCCTCAAATCTGGAATGCAACTCTTGTTCTAGAAGGGGGGTGGCCGCAAATCAGTGTTTCACCTTCTTTGTTTCAGAGTAAATTGCCCTTTTGACCACAAAGGATCCCAAACAGGTGCTACGTTCTTTTCTCCCATAAAAATCCGACGTGTCACAGAAAGTGTTTGCAGTCAAAAATGTTGATTGCAGGAAACCCGAAGGGAAGCCACAATTTGTTAGGGCTCCCCCTGTTGAAAGACACAGGCTTAAACATACCTCCAAGCAAGACCAAGAGTCACCGAGGTTGCAAATTGCCCATAGTGCAAGATTTGATAATACTTCACAGTACTGCTTTTCTTGTACTCTTTTTTTGTGGTTGCAAAGGAAGTCAACAAGAACAAACGCAATTTTGGCGTCCCCAAAAGAGGACGCACCGGTGTTACTGGTTTCGCTGCGATCATCCGAAATGTATTTCACCGATATGGAGCGTTAACATGACCTTTGCTCAAGGATGACGTGCATGGCGAAGTCTAACAGGGACTCACGCCATCGGTGGTGGTATGGCTGAACGCGTAGATTCAAAAGGCCAAGGAAGTCCAGTAGGGACAGTTCCCTCCATAAACAACTGCGGCTGCTCTATGCTCTAACTTGGTTTGGACATCCCGCAAAACTACCAGCTTGTGGTCAAATGGGGGTTTGGCTGGGGCTTTTGTGTTCAGACTCGTGTATATCGTAGGCATATTATGTAACGTAGTCAACGTCTGATTCCCTTCGAGTATGCATCCCTCCATCCGTCCCTTCCCTCCTCCATTCACGCGTCCTGGGGCTTGCACCTGAAGCTTCTAGCCTTGCAGGAAAACCAGCGGTCAACGTGTCGAAGTGAAAGAGCAAACCAACAATCAACAAGAAAGAAATAAACAAAACCAACCCACACACATAAACAGGCAGGCAGGCAGGCAGGCAGGCAGGCAGGCAGGCAGGAGGGCAGGCAGGCAGGCAGGCACAGGCATGAATAGGCACATCCATTTCGCCATGCTTTTCTTCCTTCCAAATCCTCAGGAACTTCAAAACACCACAGCGGGCTCCATCGTCCTGGAACCGGGCAAGATCTGGGTGACTTGAAAGTTCAAACGCGGGCAAAAGGATGGCAGGGCTGTCCTTTGCACAGCACTCACTGTTCTTCGCAGGCTGACGTTGTCCTCACTGTCCTTGTGTTTGACTTCTTTGCTTCTTTTTCTAGGTTGTTCAGTATCAATCCTTATTTGTTTGCCAGATAGCAGAAGTTTATCTTGTTGTAATGTCCCGTTACGTATTCTTTATGGCTATTGATTGGATCTTCAGACTTTGACTTTTTGGCAAACAGTGGATTTTCCATTTGACCCACAGACGTTGCACTTTTTGCAGAGGTGTCAACAGCACCCAAGCATGACGGATTAGACTCAGGGATCCCCATTTCGCGCGACCGAGTTTGAAGACCACCCACTAAATATGGTCACCACTCAAAAGAGCTCCGGGTCTCTGACTGCAACGTGGGCAAAGCGTCAGCTCTGCCTTCTGGACTTGTTTTGGGAAACTGAAAGGACTTTCTGCAGCGGTTGCCCAACATAGGGACAGGTTGCTCCCAGCTGCAAGCCACAGCTGGGAAGGGCTATACCCTGGCAACAAGCATGAAAGTGAACCTTGGACGTACATATAGTGGAAATGTGGATCAGCCACTAAAAGGGTCTGCCAAATTGTGGCGACGGTGGTGCCCCCCCACACCCCCCACACCCCCCACACCCCAACAAAAAGCAAGTAAAGCCAAGTAAAGCAACCACAAATGGAAACTTTTCCCTTGCTTACGCAAACATCAAGGGTGCCGCCCTGTTTGGGGAGAGTCCAACACCAATCTCCGAAAGATGTCCATTTTGCAACCATTTGAAATATGTGGCTGTTTCAACACCAAAATACAGGAAAACCGCCATTTACAAGGTAATGTTCAGGTGTGTTTCATGCATCCGGATCCCTGTTGAATCACCCAGTGCATGTGCAAGTTTTAGTTCTTGAGAGCCACCATGAAAGAGGTTGTTTTTTCTTCGTGGCTTTGTTCAGACCCATGTCCCCCATCCTTGCCCTTTTCCGGGATGTTTCTCCGAAACGTGCAGTAGACGCGCGGCGAAAACCAAACAAAACACAAAAAGAACGAGCAAAGGCAACACGTTCAGACCGATGTCCAAGATCCTGGGTTTCCCCGCGTCCTATTTTGTTTTGTTTTGATTTCTGGAGGTTGTTGCATTGTTTGGAAATGACAAATTCTGACCCGTGTCCCAGATCCCGGACTCCCCCCCCACATACTGTGTTTGATTTGTTTCTCGGGGTGTGTTGCATTTTTCCCCGGACCCCATATCCCAGTCGCAGAGGCCAATGCAGATGCGCACATTTTCCCACATTTATCTTCCAGACGTTTATTTTCCAAAAGCAATTCACGCACGCTCAGGGTGCCTAGAGTGTCCATGACCCTTTAGAAATGGGGTCATTACCTAAAAACATGGGGTCATGGACCGATTTTTTCATTTAAAGGGTCGTGGAGACTCCAGGTACCGTGTTCCTTCACTGTTCTTGGCATGTTTTTTAGTTTTTTGGAGTTTTTCGGTTCTGTTCATGTTTACTGGGGGTCTGCAAAAAACCGTCAGTTTTTGCCAGCCCATACCAAGAGTAGAGATGGGAACCCCGTTTCTTTTGGGGATCCACCGCTGTTCCGTTGGAAGCTGAGGTGGAGAGCCCCTTCGACGGCATCCTGGGCTTGGCGTACCCGCAGATCGCGCAGCCGGCGGATCCGAAGGACCCGGTGCTGCCGCCCTTCGATGTGATGATGCGCCTCTGCCCGGGCGGTCTCGGCGATGTGGTTCGGTTTTTCTGGGTGGACTTGGTGGTTTCCCGTTGAGAACTTCGTGGCATCAACTAGGTTTCCCAGCAATTGGCGCCGTTTCTTTTACCATTTGTTTTTTTGGGTGGACTTGGTATCCTCAGGTGGGGTACGAAAGGAAAGGAAAGAGCGCATACCCAAGAGACATGGTTGGCTTTGGATGTTGGAGCCCAAGGTCCAGCTGGGTGCCCGACCTCTCACCCATTTCTTTTTTGGTTGGGAGGGGTTCCCTAAATAGACTAGCTGGGTGCCCTTTCTCACCCCTTTTTTGGTTGGGAGGGTTTCCCTACTAAAATAGACTACAGAAAAAAGGGTACCCTTATTCTAACCTCTCTACTGGAGGACCTAGCCAATATGCCCGCGATGGTTTGGCTTTTTGGTGTTGGACTTGAAAGGAAAGAGCGCATTCCCAAGAGACATGGTTGGCTTTTGATTTTGGACTTGGTATCCTCAAGTGGGTTACATCAAAAGGAAAGAGCGGCGAGACATCACCTTTGAGGTTCTTTGAGGGAGTTTGCCTCCCAGTGGGGGGAAGTTGTACTTTGTCAGATTGTGACCCCGAAGTGTGGAAACGAAGGAAAGGCTGAGGACAAGCTGGCGGAAGCCATTGAAGGGTTCTGCGAGTATCAGGCGCCAAAGTGTTGATCCTTGTGTAGACAAAGCTAAGTTGTTTGGCCCGTTGGAAAGGGGTCATTTTGCCACGTCACGATCACAGGGCAATCATGTGTTCAATGAGATCGATTGGGGCTATATTAGGCTATATTCATTTCCAAGTCCTCGGGGGTGAGTGTGAGTGCGTGTGTGGGTGCACGTTTGAGTGCAGAGTTGGGGCACACATTGGAAGGGTCTGGTTGGCACAAATCCCAATGAGCTTGCCTCGTTGGGTCATGCGGCCACGGGACGGACTCCACCCTTTTGCAAACACCCTTCTCACTGCCCGACGGGCCTACTCTTGAAAGCAATGAACTCAGCACGCCCCCTGTTCTTTGGCGGAGTCTAAAGGGACACCAAGAACCACAGCGGCCGAGCACGCGCGCGCAGTTTTCACGGAGCAAGTTCCTGTGCTTGACAAATACGCTCCGGTTGAGATCGATTTGAGGAAGCGCAAGTTGGTGAAGCAGGGCATGTTCTCCTTCTTCCTTTCCACCTGTAGGCACGGCAGTTTCGGAGGTGTGGAGGCTGCCTCTCACTTTCCCAGTGAGTGGACCCTAAACATGTTTTGTCGGGAAGATCAGTTTAGTGGCAAACAAGAAGAGAAAGTCACCTGTCGCCTTTTTCAGCTGTAGCTTCCCTGAATCACTTGTTGGAAATATCAGAACCCTTTGATACCCCTCTTTCAGTTGTCAGCGTTCTGCGACAATGTACACTTGGAAGGTTTCCCGGG